TTCTATTCTATTCTATTCTATTCTATTCTATTCTATTCTATTCTATTTCTATTCCATTCCTCTCTATTCTATTCTATTCTATTCTATTCCATTCCATTCCATTCCATTCCATTTCTAGTCTATTTCTATTTCTATTCTATTCCTATTCTATTCTATTCCAACCTATTCTATTCTATTCTCTATTCTATTCCATTCCATTCCATATCTTCCATTCTATTCTATTCTATTCTATTCTATTCTATTCCATTCAATATTTTCTATTCTATTCTATTCTATTCTATTCTATTCTATTCCAACCTATTCTATTCTAATTCTAATTCTAATTCTAATTCTAATTCTATTCTAACCCATTCTATTCTTTCTCTATTCTATTCTCTGTTCTATTCTATATTGCCTGGAGAATTCTGGGAGTTGAAGTCCACAAGTCTTAAAGTGGCCAAGATTGGAGACCTCTGGTCTAAGGTGTTCTTCTCCCCCACCCCCCATTGCAACGGCAACGTCCGGTTCATTTAGGACGGCGTATGAAGGGGAGGCAGTTCTCCCCCCCCCACCCACAAGACCGTTCCTTGGGAACCCGAAGTGGCTTCGAGCCCGCATTCCCATTGCTCTCTGGAAAAAAAAGCGTACCCGGAAGCCGGCGTTGCCACGGCAACTGCTCGGGCGGCCTCCGGGCGGAGCGCGCTAGCGGAGGCGGCGGACACTTCCGCGCTTTGTTGCGGCGGCGAGGACGGTTGCCATGGTGCCCAGCAAATGCAGGCCCGTCGGGGTGGGGAGGCCGGGCCACACCGTCTCGGTAAGCGAGGGGCCCCCGTGAAGGCCGGGGACTACTACAGGTCCTATGGAGCGCAGCCGGGGGCGTGGAGCATGGGGGCTGTAGTCCTTCCCCTGCTGGGGAAGGCCATTGTGAGTGTAGCTCTCCCCTCCCCCCTCCCCCCCTCCTCCTCCTCCAGCTGGACATTTAAAATAATAATAATAATAATAATAATAATAATAATAATAATAATAATAATAATAATAATAATAATAATAGTAATAATAGTAATAATAGTAATAATAATAATAATAACAATAATAATAATAATAACAATAATAATAATAATAATCCGAAAATAATTTTGCTTTTCATTTTTTTAAAAATAAATTCAAAAATAATTTTGCTTTTCATTTTTTTCATTTCTTTATTCATTTCTTTAAATTTGATTTCAATCACCTTTTGTTATTGATTTTTTATTGTCCTCATCTTTTTTTTATTTTGAATCTTTTTTTAAACTTTAATTGATTTTTAACCTTTTTTAAAAAAATCAATCATTTTAATTTAATGTTTTTTTTAATTATTATTATTTTTGTTTCAGTTATTTTTTACCTTCGTTGTTTTTAACTGTTTTTTTAAAAAGTTAATTATTTTTTTTCCATTTTCATTTAAGATTCTGATTTGATTTCTTGATTTGATTTTTGTATTTGATTTTAATGCTTTGTGGAAGATTTCTGTTCTCTTTTGTTCATTTCATCCTATTGCTTTGGGCTTCCACCCAGGTGAGACAGACGTCTATATAACTATAACTGAATACATTTATTTGAACAAAAATTGGGGGTTTCCAAAGGCAGGAATGAAATGCCCCCTATTTTATGCATGCATTATTCTAGCAACTCTTTTTCACCCATTTACCTAAAATCAAGGCTGATATAAAATGTTCTTCTCCCTATTCCTCTTTTCAAGAGGTGATTAATTAAACTTGGAGGTGATTAATTCTCTTTTCTTTTTCGCAGGCCAACAATTACGGAGTTCAGCTGGTTCTCCAAAGTACATCGGCGGCAGAAAGAACCAGAGCTGTGAGACTTGAATTTTTATTATAAACATTTAGAGAATTCCTCCCTGAGGTCCTGACTGAAGTTGTGTAGTGAATTTGGTGTTTTGTGATGTCTTCTGATGTGGGTGCGTAGATGTGTTGTTCTTTTGCTCTTTTGATGGTTACGCTTCTTGCATGTTTTGTGTTGTGGAGAGCATGTTTTACAACTCCCAAGCACATTCGTTGGCGCGTTGGAATTAATAAAACTATCCTAAATATAGAAGAAGCAACAAGGTTCAATCAAATGGGTGGGAATGGTTTTGCAAAAACCCCTGGAAAATGTAGTCCTTTTAAGCCCTCATGTGACATAATTTGAGACACAAATTAAAATCTTGTGTGTTTCATAATCTCAGTGTTTCTTGGGAGAATCAATTTTTTTCTGCTTTTCTTTCATAAGGTGCATAATGCATTCCCCTTCTGACGTTTTCTATTGCAGCTGGAACTTAGATTGCACAAAGACCAGCCTTATCTCCACAACCGGTTCTTGCAGCATGACCTTGAAAAAAACCATCCTGGAAAACTAGGTATTTTGGGGGGAAAGTTGCTGTCAAAATCAAGATTACTAACAAATCAGCAGTATGTAAGATTGCAAAACAGTAAACTAATAGTGAGATAGTCAGCCCTGATATTTTTCAGAGGTTCATACACCCAGGAGTCTGAAAGGAAAGCTCTAAAATTTGATATTAATCTTTTCGCTGTTGACAAATAATCCTCTTTTTTTCCCTTCTAGCAGATGGAAGATTAAGTCCTTTGTCACGGAGCAAAAAAGCCTGCATTCCCATTGCAGCTAATTTTGTCGATATCCCTAGCCTGGAAGTGAAATACGGCCAGGGGTCTCTCACAGTCTCTGGAGACGGTTCGTTTCCAAATCCTTTGAAGTACCGAGTTCAACAGGGCTGCCACAATGTCAGTGCAAATGGCCCAGGTAATTCTGCCAATCAGCAGGGCTGATGCAATTATGGTCCAAACTGGCTGGGGAATTCTGGGAATCGAAGGCCATATATTTGACAGTTTCCAAGTTGTGGAAACTCTGCTCTAAACAGTCACTAAATCTTTGCCCTTGCCTGCTTCCCAGGGCTGAGAGAAAGTGACTGGCCTAAGGTTACCCAGTTGGCTTTGTGCTTAAGGAGGAACTAGAGCTCATGGTCCCCCAGTTTCTGGGAGAGCAGGGCCTCGGGCAGGGGAGTGGACTAGAAGACCTCCAAGGTCCCTTCCAACTCTGATTCTAGCCTGGTGCCTTTAACGATGGTCCCTTCCTTCCTTGTGACAAAACCAGTATGTCCCAACAGAGACTGCAAAGGCTGCCCTGGCTTTAAAAAATGGTCCAAACATTGGTAGTTGAAGAAAAGTTTTCCTTTTCCCTCTTGGCTAGACAATAATACTTATGGGATCACGGGATTTCCTTTGGTGTACCGCTCGGCAGAAGAGAAAATCCAGCTTTCGGACCGGATGACCCTCGAAAGGTAAAAATAAGGAAGCGGGGGGGGGGGGGGGGACTGCTCTTATTGCAGATGTTTGCAGCTGGACATTGGCTTCAAACACTAGCAGCCTTTGTGTCCCTGGGAGAGAGAATCCCTGTTTCCCAGGTTGGGGTCTCTGTAAAGTGCCCAACCAAAGGTTGCAATTTATATTCTGCTTTAATAGATGGATTTAGGGATCTAGGAAGGCTCTCATTTTAGCCGGCTTGCTCTTGTTTTCCTTCCCCAGTCTGCCACCTTCCCTTCTTCCTCTCCATCTCTTCTTCCTTAGCTTTTACAATTTTTTTAAAACATTGGGTACTGTTTCAAATCTTGAAAATTTAAGAACGAGGGTATGCTTTGTTTTGTCAGAACCTCCCTTTAGTTACTGGATGGGGGATTCTGAGAGTTGAAGTCCACACAGCTGAAAGCTTTCCAAGGTTGAGAAACACTGGCCTAGGGTCACAGTTAGAGTAACCCCTGGGCCGCTAGCTGCCCCTTTCCTTCTTAGAACTGTACCTGGAACTTCCTTCCCAGGCAGAAGCTGACCGTTTGCCCCATCATCGACGGGGAAGAGCACCTTCGTCTCTTAAGCTTCCAGCACAACTTCATCACTCGAATCCAGAACATCTCCAAGTTGCAGCGCCTGATTTTCTTAGACTTGTACGACAACCAGATCGAAGAAATCAGCGGCCTCTCCACCTTGAGATGTCTCCGGGTTCTTTCGCTGGGAAATAACAGGTAAAGGCATCGGAAAAGCTGGGTTCTTTGGGCAGGTTTTATTTTGGGGCTGAGTCCAGCCGCTGAACTCTGGTTTGGCTTGCAGATATCAAGCCTAGATGAGCCAGAACCTGTTTAGTTTCTGAGCTCAGATGAGATGGTTAGTTATGTGGTTGGTCTGAGCTTGGTCTGAGACCTCTTCAGTGCACCGTGGGTTGTGCTTGTCTCAAAGAGCACTGAAAATGTCTCCTCGAATGAGGATGAAAGGTTTGCAACCAAATTGCCAAACTCGGCGCTCAAACCAACAACCTAACTACTAACCCAAGCTGCTAGTATTCAAAGACATTTCAATGGTTAGAGAGGCTTCGGTTTGGTGAGAGTGCGTTTTCAAGAGGCAACTGGACTTTGATTTTCCTTGAAGGCGTTTCACTTCTCATCCAAGAAGCTTCTTCGGCTCTTAAGGAATTCCTGTCACGTGGCACAAGATCCTTTAGCTCTCCTTAGATCGACACCATAATGGGTTTTTCTTTTTTTTCTCCCCCTTCCATCAACTTCAAATGCCATTGCAGAATCAGGAGAATTTCGAACCTGGATAATCTTGTGAACCTTGATGTCTTGGATCTTCATGGCAATCAGGTGAGATTCACCAATGCTTTTGCAGTTGGGTTGGGAAGTAATCGTCAGCCGGCTGTTACTAGGGACTACTGCTTCCCTACAGCCTGAGTAAAGAAGAGAACGTCCAATGATTCGGGGTAAAGGAGATACCAGGAAGAGTCTAAGCTTCAGCTGTTCCTGGTTTCACCATGGAGGAGGAGAGGTGTATTATTCTGCGGCAGCCCAAAATCTGGTGGCACCTTCTCTGATAAATCATTAATTCTAATACAGGGCTCTCCAAACGTGGCAGCTCTAAGACTTGTGGACTTCAACTCCCAGAATTCCCCAGCCAGCAAGGAGAGTTGAAGTCCACAAGCCTTAAAGCTGCCACGTTTGGAGAGCCCTGTTCTAATAAAAGGCACCTGGTTTAGTCAGATGCTTAACTGATGGGAGATTTAAACTGGGGTGAACTGGGTGGGTGGGAAGCCAGAAACCAACCTATCTTTCAGGTTAGGGGTTACTGTTCTTTGTAGGCCAGCCAGAGACCTTAAGGGAATAAGCACGTAGACGTGTTCTAATTAAGTAATGCACACTGGACAGTTTCATTTCTACAACATCCCTTTGTATCATTTGAATCTCAGAAGATAAATGGCCAATTTCATCGGGGGTGAAATGATGGCAGTTTTGGGAAGGAAACAAGTGGGTCAAATAGTAACTCTTCCCCCTCCACCCCCCCTCTAGATTTCTGTCATAGAAAATCTCAGTCACTTAAAGGATCTCCGAATGTTGAACCTTGCCCGGAATGGCTTGACCCACGCCGAGAACCTCCGTGGGCTGGATTCGTTGCTGGAACTCAACCTGCGCTACAACAAGATCAGATTGGTGGTAAGCGCTCCCTCAGCCGAAGCTGACTTCTTCCTTAAAGGGGTTTTCCTTGGCACGTTGGCACCAGAGGAAAGGACATGCCCTTTTTGCTCCAAAACAGTCTGATCTGTAGTCCCCCAAAAGTGCTTTTTTTTTCCCCCCCCCAAGAGGCAACAGGGACTTTCTGGTTTTTCTTGGAAGACGTTTCACTTCTCACCTAAGAAGCTTCTTCAGCTTTGACTGGATGGTGAGGAATGGAAAGATTTATATTCCTTGCAGACAGCTGATCATTTGCCTCTTTAGATAAGAGTCCTTGAGGCCCACCTTGTGATGACCCAAAGGGGCGTGGCACAAAGGCAACACAGTCACATCAGTAAGAAGACTGCCATTAATACCTCCAACTTTGCCCCCAATGTCCAGTTACCTTTGGCTGGAGGAAAAAACTCTCCCAGGAACAGTTTTTCAGTGGAGGAAATTCAGTCCGAAAGCAAAGTACATACAAACTGGAACTAAAAATCCACACAAACCTTGCTGTAGTAATTAACTGGACAGGGCAGGAGAAGGAATTGCAGACTTGAAAGGCCAGCAAAACACACACAGTTAGGAAGATGCCAGGAACCCAGACAAGCCTTGACAATAACAGATAACACTATGTTCCCAGCTGCAGCTAATGAAGGGAATCGGGGCCCTTTCCTCCCCCATAAGCCATGCAACCCACATTACTCCCTTCTCTGTTCCTGCGTGCCCTAGGATGAAGAGTGGATGCCCTGAATCTTCCTCTGAATTCCCTCTGCCTTGGTCTACCTCTCCCCTGCTCTGCCCAGCCGGACTTTGCCCTTCCCCGGTTTCTTCCACAGCCAACGGAGCCACCCTCCCACTCTCTGTCAGCTGTTCGGCTTCCTCCTTCTAGTCAGACTCCAACAGGGGCATGACACCCCTGGAGATTTATCTGCGTCCTCAGGCTCAGAGCTGAAGCACCTTCTTGGATGATAAGCGAAATGTCTTCCAAGGAAAAAACTTGGAAAAAAAGAAGCCCCTTTGACCTGGATGATGGAGACTCTCCATAGACATTTAGCCTGGTCTGTAGCTTGCAAAATGTTTCCGCTCCCACACTGGAGGTTTTTAAGAAGAGATCGGACAACCGTTTGTCTCAAATACGATAGGGTTTCCCGCCTGGGCAGGGCGGGTTGGACTAGATGGCCTCCAAGGTCCTTTCCGTCTCTCTTATTCTTTTTTTTTCACCCCTCCACAGTTCTTCAAGTCCTTCTGAGACGGCGGACGAGAACCCTTCCTTTGCAAAATGGGGACTTGTCCGTTTCTCTTCCTCCTTTTTCCCCTCCCCGACTCTCTTCCCTAAGTATTGACTTCAAAGCTGCCCGGTGGGAGGCTGCCTGCATGACTTAGCAGTTTGATGCAGGGAGGGAGAGCCACATGGTTCCCCCAGCCCTGTTTTATTTTGCCTGCTGTTCATTGCGGCACATTTCCCCTCCCCTCCTCCTGGCGCACCATGCTCCCCCCCCCCCCCCCCCCCCCCCCCCCCCCCCCCCCCCTGCCCGGGCGCCAACCCCCCCGGGGGGGCCCCCCCCCCCCCCCCCCCATAAAAAGAGGGCTCTGCCTTCATTCTGACCTGCGCCACGGAAGTCTCCTCCCATCAGGGCTGCGGGAAGACTGGTAGGGGGAGGAAGGAAAGCGGCATGAGTGCCGGCTCCGGGGTTCTGCCTTGCCCGCCTGCTTCGCCTCTGACGCCACTGACTCTCCCTTCCACCCGCTTTTAGAAAGATGTGGACAGCCTGCCCAACCTGCAGCGTCTTTTCCTCAGCTTCAACAACATCTCTTGGTAAGCCCGTTTCGGTCTCTCTGTCTCTCTCTCTCTCTGTCTCAGCGCTCGAGTGCCTTTTGTCCTCTGGGGATCGATTCCAAACCTGTTCCAAAGGGGCTTTTGGTCTAACCGGTTCCGCCCCAACGCGGAACTTGTCCCAAAGGGGCTTTTTTCACCACCACCCCCTTCCAAAAAGAACTGGACTTTTCTTCTTCAACAACAACAGCAACAACCCAAAAAGTCTTAACTGCCTTTGGGGAAAAAAAGCACATTTTTGTTGTTGTTAAAAATAAGAAGAAGTCCAGTTGCCTTTTGGAGAAAGCAACTTTGGGATAAGCATGACCTGGACGGCTGAGAACCTGCACAGACCGCGTGGAACTTGGTAAAGATGACAAAACAAACGTGTTTTCCGCTTTTTTAAAGCAACAGACGGGAAGTTCTGTGCGTCTCATTCACCAGCTAATGTAGGTCGGGAGTTTTGTTTCCTTCCAAGGGGACATGGATCCAAAGAGAAAGTCTGCTCCCCGATTCTTCGGATTCCAGATGATCTGTCCTGAGTCAGCCTGATGCTCCTTGTACAAAACCGTGCCAAGAAGGGATTTAGGCAGCCTATCCTCCTTCCTACAGGTTGGAAACAAGCGGAGTTTTCCTTCCCTGGAGATTCCTGGGTTCCCAGCTGTGCAGGTTTTCAGTCTTCGTTAGCTAACTTGCCTGCTGTTCCTGGGGGCTAATCTTTTTCTTCTCGCCCTTGTCAAGAGAAGGCTGCCATCCCTTGAAGTGGAGGGGCTGTCACTTCTTTTCTCTTTTTTCTGCAGTGTGTTATTTGTGTGGGTGTGTAAATGTAATTCTGTACTGCAACACCTCTTGATGATTGCAAGTTTCCCACCCGCTGGCGTGGCAGACTTCATATGCTTTGCTGAGTCTTCATTAAATCTCCCTCCCGGTCTCTTTTTATGATCATCAGATGTTCAGCCAGGCCCCTATCGTGGGGGTTCATGTGTGTGTGTTGGGGTGGGGGCAACAGGCAGGGAAGAGTTGATTCTCACCCTCTCAAAACTAGTTGGGCGCTTGGGAGGCATGGGGCATCCTTCCACCCTGCAGATACGGATAGAAAGAGCCGACTGGCTTGTAATGAGGACCCATGCTGGTTCAAATTGGGATGATTTTGGGACTTTGATGTTCTTGAGGTTTAGTAGTGCTAAGAGGCAAACCCTAGAACGGAAGAGATGCTGAAGATCATCCAGCCCAGCCCCCTGTTTGGTGTAGGAATTCATTATTATGGCATCTCTGAACAGATAAACACCCAACCTCTTGTTTAAAGCATTACTCCTCGACCACAGGAACTTGAAGAGGGGTTGACTTCAGCTCCCAGAATTCCCCAGCCAGCACAGAACTCTGGGAGTTGAAGTTCATCCACCCCTCTTAAAGTCGAAATCTGCACCTCTTCAAAGTTGAGAAACACTGCTTCCAATTCTTCCAGCAGAAAAGCCACCCACCTTCTCAGGTGATCTGTTCCATTATTTTCCAGAAAATTGGGGGGGAAAAACACTTAACATTTTGGGATTTAATATATGCCCTGCTTTAAACCCAGCAGCATCACTTTGATGTGAACACAGCAGCCTCTGGTGCCAAATCCAAAGCAGCTACACCCGATCCTATCCTCCTTGCACAGCTTAGGGGCTTTTGGGGTGCTACAACGCTTCAGCCGTTGCATGCTGAATGCACGTACACCCCCCCCACCATGCAAACTCAAGAGACCCACACAAGCCTTTGATTCTGATGGCTATGGAGGTGGAAAGGCTGCAGGCTTTCCTGGGTTTGCTTGCAGTGGGGAGGCGAGCTCTGCAGAAGATCATTTTCTGTTTTGGTGTGGCTGACATCATCCTCCCCGCCTGGCACTTGCCAAGTTGCACCTGGGCACCTGGGTGAGGCTTTTCTCTAGCCAGGTTTGGCTTTGCTTGTCTGGCTGAGGGGCTGCCTTCGGAAGAGAGGTGGGTCAGGGCCCAGGTTTCTTTGGAAGGGAGGGGGAGGAACGTTTCTTGAAGCTCCTGTAAATGTGAAGCCACTGAAATGACCCGGAAGGCAGGAAGCCGAAAGAAGAAGCTGTAACAGCGATGTGAGTCTTTTGTTCAAAAACAAAAAACAGAGACTTTTTAAAGTACCATTTACTTTGAAAAACACAAGTTTGAAGAAGAATTGAGCCAAAGTTGTCCGTCTGTCTGTCTTTGTCTGCTTGCCTGCCTGCCTGTCTATCTACTTATCGTCTATCTATCTATCTATCTATCTATCTATCTATCATCTATCTATCTATCATCGTCTGTCTATCTATCTATCTATCTATCTA